CCGTGATGTTCTTCAATCCCATTCCTTTATGACACGGTGTAATACATCTACGTCGCAACGTGTCATACATCGACTGAAATAGATTTTTAAAAATGTAATGAATGGAGTTTTACGTCCTGATTCTTCTGTACACAATTAGGTAACACCATGCAGTGCACAATGAGAGAAATCTTGGCAGGGCAGCGGCCTGAGCCTACTCTCTTTCGGTTTCCAGCTGTCTGACGGTCTTGAAAAGGTATTATTCATGCACTAATACAAATAAGACTAAAAAAAACTATCAAGATCAAAATACCTGTAGCTTCTGGTTTTGGCGACTCTTTTCCATCAATTTCTCTGAAGCTTCATTATATTTCTTCTTTGCTGCTTCCAGTTCTTTTTTAGCTGCTGAAAATATCAAAAAATACTTTGCAAATCGTCGCGAACATAATCTTAAATTTGGGAATTGACAACAAAAAAATTCTAACTACGACGCTATAATAACAGCTTTCATAGATAGATGATTAAGTTTTTAATATCATCAAATTCATGTAGCCCGTGGATAGGCTCAAAAGTCGAAAAATAAAGTTTAAGATCATGCACTGAATTCATTTGACCATGGTAATAGAATAAACTTACATGCTATCTGGGACTTCAAACCTGAAAATATAAGAGGAAATATATTTCATTGTTGTCACATAAGACTGCCGGTACTTCCAAATTTTGGCCTTGGCCTAAAAATACTACCTCAGTAGTACGCCATTGATTCTGTAATTCAATGCTACTTACTATTGAGCTCTGAATGTGTTCTGGTAACTATCTGTTCGTAATAGTTCTCTAGCTGTACTGATCTTTCTTTAGCTTTATTTGCCACATATTCTTGATACGACTTCTCATGGTGTGTCTGAAAACGAAACAAATAAGAGATACTCCATCGTATCCCGAATACGGGATTTGACAATGTCTTCTTAACCCATATTAAACTAAACCCACAACACTTCGTATTGTGGGCGTTGAAATGAGATTCGTGCTATTTAATTAAAACCTAAAAATTGCACATTCTTAGAGCGTTGGCTTTCAGGACCTCCAGACAAAAATGAG